TCCAAGACACTTATGCCAAGCTGTTGAGCACAATGAGCCTGGAGCTGCAGAGCTACATGAGCCTGGAGCTCCTCAAGACCTGCGTGGTGTGTGCCCCAGAGAGTGAGGTGGAAAGCTACTGCGAGGAACTGGTGGAGCAGGAGGTCAGCCGTGTTCTGCACTCTGACATGGACAAGGACAACTTGGCCTACCTGAACTCCATCTTTGCCTCCTTCCCCAAGGCTGCCTGGAAGGCCATGAGGAGCTGCCTGCAGCTGCAGCAGAACGGGGACGGCCTCTTGGTAGCCAGGGCCACCCCGGAGGTGTGGAAGAAGGTCCTAGGAGGGCCGCATCAGGAGGACATGGGTCAGAATGGGGTGGTCCCCCTCTTTGAGCTCATCTGCGCCTCCTTCCTGAGGTTCAAACCCAAGTGGCTGCCCAGTTTTGTGGAGCTGACCCAGCAGTACGTTAGTATCTCTTGGACATACGGCAGCAAGGAGGGCCCAGAGGGCCGGGTGCCACTGTACAAGAGAGCGCTGGGAGTACTGGCCAGGAAGAACAAGCGCAGCGAGGCAGATGATGAGATGGAGCTTGAACTGCTGCTCTGCAGCAAGAGGCCTAAAGCTGTGCTGCAAGCTCTGCACCTTCTCATCCGCCTGAAGCGGTGGCAGCGGGTAGTAGAGGTGGCAGAGAAGTTCTCTAAGCTCAGCCCATTGCTTAACAAGGAGATATTCACAACGCTGCTGGCAGAGTTTGCCCAGCACCGGGAGCTGGACCCTTATCTGGACACACTGTGGCCGCTGTGCCCTGTTGAGCTCACCGCCTCGGATGTCATCACCGTGGTCCTGCAGCACCTCCCTCACTCCCAGGAGGACCCAGTGCCCTTCTCCAGCGAGGGGAACCAGCTGACTGTAGGCTTGATCAAGCCGCTGCTGCAAAGGATTGTGCAGCGTCCCTGCATCCAGGATGAGATGTACTCGGATGCCTTGCAGAGCCCCACCTTCCCCCCTCCTACCCCACCCCGAGAGCACAAGCACCCTTCAAAAGCAGCGGCCGATGATGCCCCTCAGCCACCCGTAGGAAGGACTTCCTCCCCCTCAGCACTGGTACAGGGTGACACTGCATGAGGGGGGGAAGCACAACAGGATCCCAAGCCTTGGGTGCACAAGGAGGGGAAAGCCGCATCCATCCCAGGAAATCCTGCCCTGCCTGGCAGTACAGAAGCCTGCTCCTTTCTGAAGCTTCCCTGTGCCGGCATCTCAAAGAGTCTGTTGGGTGGCTAGGGTTGGGGGATCTCATCTGAAGCTGGGGCAAGCTTTCTGGCTATTTCTAGCAAGTGCAATTGTGCGTGTCCCAGTGGAGGAGCAAATGCCAGGTGCATTTGCAGATGAAAGCACTGGCTGCACTACAGGACAACAGAACTGCTCCCTGCCCAAAGCACTTTTTGTTTTTTGTTTGCTTGGCTCCTTTATAACTTCACTTCTACTTCCCTGAGCCTCTAGGAGCAGTGGTGGAGTGGTGGGCTGGGACACAGTCTCCCCCCCTCCCCCCCATTCTCTGCTCGGTGGGTTAGGTGGTGCCTCCAAGCTCTGCCTGTGAGAAACAGCATGTTTCTTGCAGTGGGGTCACTGAGCCCTGCTGCTTTGGGCTCAGTCAGATGCTAAACACCAGTGTGGCGCGGCTCTGTGGTACTGGGGGTCCCAGCACACGCGCTGGCAGCTGCAGCATTCTGTGCGCTGTCTCGCTGCAATTCCTCTGGGATCAGTCCTGTAGCTGTGACTGATTGCAGCTACTTAGCTGAAGAGAGCAGCCTAATTCCCTTATCTCTCTATCCCAGACGGTACCCGAACTCTCTTCTGAGCTGAGAAGCTGGCAGCAGCCTGTGCGAGCTTGGGGCTGGCCCTGCCTCTCCCTTTCCTTTGTGGAAGCTTAGATTATGCTGCAGGACGCCCGGGCCCTCTGTTCCCATCTCCTCTACCTTTGGCCTTTGCACATAAAGGGGCTTTGTCAGGGTTGTCTGGCTCATATTGTGCCTCTGTTTGCAAAGTCAGCGTAACTTGAGAGCGGTCATGCAGGAAGATCCAGGTTCCAGCCTCTCTCCTGTGCTCACTGCCTGGCCCCCTCCTCCAGGAGAGAGACCCTGGCTGTGGCTTTGCCCCTGCATTCCAGGCTGTGGTGTGAAGGAGCTGTCTCCTGCCTTGCTGGGCTGGCAGAGCCTGGCTGGGACGGGATGGGGGAGATTCACCTGCATTAGTCCTCTTGAGAGTGGGGTTAAGTGTGGAAGACAGAATCCTTTTAAAAATAAAGGTTCCCAAAGCAGTGCTGGGGCGGTGGTGGATGTTGTGAGGACGCACATCCCCAGGAGGAGGGCAGTTTCATTTTGCTTCTGGTGGAAAGTGGCCAAGCTCAACTCACCATGGTACTGCCCAGCGTGGCTCACCGCTGGTACGTGCTGAGCTCAGAAATCGAGCTGTACCTGGCCAGCCCATTCCCTCTGTGGTACTCAGCTCCTTACCACTATGAAGCCATGGAGGCAGGAGCATGTGTGCTGCAGAGAAGGGCCATCCAGGTGGTACATGGTTGTGGCTGGGCCCAAGGTAGAATTGAGGAAGGGAGAATTTTTCCTCAAGAGCTGCAACTTGTCCCTTTGTTCCTGGCTGGAAAACCAGCAACAGGGAGCACCAAGCTGGCCCCAGCAGGAGCCTGCTGCCCTAGGCATGCAGTGGCAGAGCTGCCGTTGGAGGGATCTTCGTTTGTCAAACCGCTGTGAAGATGTGGCAGGGCCTCCCTCTGACAAGGGCTGGGCTGCAGAAGGTCCCTGTGGTGGAAAAAAGTCTGGCAAAGGGGAAGCGGAACTGCTGCAACGGTTCTTTAGAGGCTGGCTGGCTATAAATGAGACCTTCCTTATAGTGGGCCTTGTGCTGTGGCTGTGGGGTGCTGTGAGTTTCCCTCCCACGCAAGGGAAGTGGATGCTGGCAGCTGGTGCTGATGTGAACAGAGGGAGCCTGGCCTGAAAGGAGAGCCAGCAGCAGCCGCTGTGGGCATTTTGCAATGAGCCGTCCTCACCTCTTCCCCGAGCAGCTGCTGGCCCTGCCTGACGCTGCTCTTGCCCACCTCCCAGGGCTGCTCAGGAGGAAGAGGGTGGACCCAGGCCCCTCTTAGAGCCATAGCTCCAGGGACTGGGATGCTGCCCTGGAGCAGCACTGAATGGGGAGCTGCTGAGAGCAAGCCCCAGGCCTTGGCAAAGGCTGTGCAGTAATCTGGGGAGGGGGGGATTTTCATTGCCAGGGCTGGGTTTGGATGCAGGTGGCCACGGTGACACAGCGAACAAGGAGGGTCAAGCTCCCTGCCTTCCAGCACTAGCTCTGCAGAGAAGAAAAGGCTGTGGCTGGAGGCTGAGCAGAGAAGGAGCAGGGAGGGAGCAGTACCCGCAAAGCCAGCGAGCAGAAACCGAAGCCTGCAGCAGTCCTGCGCAGGCTGCTGTCCCCGAGGCTCAGCAAGGGAAGAGGAAGTGGAGAACACTGTGCGGTGGGTACAACCTGGGGCTCGGGGATGGAAACCTCCACACACAGCCCCTAGACAAGCACAAAATAGTCACAGCTCGGGAGGTTGAGGGTTTAGGGTAGGGGAGAGCAAAGGCAGAGCAAGCGGAGACAAAACTGAGCTAAATGCTCTCCATGGGGGTGCTGGGAAATCCCATCCCAAGGACCAGAAAGGGTGCGCATCCCTTGGGGGGAGCAGGGGCTGAGCCACCACCCAGGACAGATTCAGCTGGGTGATAGGCAAGCACGGGGCTCTCTTTGCGGTCAGGACGAGTGCTACGGAGAGATAGCAGGAGGTAAGGCTGGTGCAGCTTCAGATAACACCTGAAGGAAAAAACACTGATTAGAAGATCTGAAGGCAAATGGAAAAAGCGATAAAGCACATGGACATAGCAGAGAGCAGGCTGGCCAGCTCGGCCCTGTTGCTCACTCCAGAGAGACTTGGACTTTGCAACGAAGGAAATGAGTCAGGCTGCTCACATACGTCCCCTGTGCCTGGCGCGGCTTTTGGGATGGTCCCTGTGCTTGCACCAGGGAGCAGCACAAAGCAACACTTGCACTCGCCTCACCACAGGTGCAGACCAAGTTGCCCTTGGCTTATCTGTGCATGCAGCTGTCACCGTGCCCATCCGTGCCATGCAGCAGTGTGGGACATGCAGTCTGAAAGTCCCCATGCCACCATAACCAGTAGAGGGAGGGAGGTGCAGGCTGCAGGCACCCCATAAACTCACTGGAAACCCACAGATGATGCATAGGAGGGTTGCCAGCAGGCACAGGAAAGTGCCCGTGCGCTGGGAAAAGCATGGTGTGGCACCTCACAGACAGAAGGGTCTTGGTGCAGCTTTTCTCAGGGAAGGACCTGGCAGCCACCCAGCCACAGGTGCAAAGGGCTGCCCAGTGAGGGGAACATCACGCAGCCCCAGTGACGCTGAGCAGTGGTCATGCATTGACCCATGGGCTGGGTCAGGGCTCCAAGAGCTGGCTGTGGGCAGAGCGTGCTTGGGGACCGCAGCAAGAGCCCTCTAGTCCCAGGCACAGCCCCAGCTTGTGCCAGCAGTGGGGAACCCTCCCTGCCCTTACCCCTGCATCCTTCCATCGAAGCTGCACGTGAAGAGCGGAGCCACATGCCCACAGTACACACAAACGCCCCATTTATTGTTTGACGCCAATAATCACAGCCTTGGAAAGAGGCTCCCTGCAAAAATAAATAGTCACATTTTTCGAGCGAGGGGCCTGGGTGAGCAGGTTCCCACTGACCAGCGGCACAGGCTGTGGTGGCATAGACCATACAAGCTGCCCTGAGCCCACAGGGTCTGGTGTGGGGGGGTGTGAAGACACACCTGAGGCAATGCAAGGTGCAGCCCCCCTCCCACACATACCGGAGCATCGTCACACAATGGGAGTGGGAGTGGGGGTTTCAGCCAGAGGGTCCCAACCTGCTCCCTAGTGCCCAGGGAAAAGGCGCAGCAGACGAAGCAGCCTTGTCCATCTCCTCTGTGCCTGGGCAACGGGGGGCTAATGCCTTGTGGATGGTCGGGGGATTTTGTAGAAGTTGAATGTGGGTGGCCTGCAAAACCAAGGTCACTTATGTCACCCCCAGCCACAGAGGGGAGCAAGGGACAGCCCAGGATGCGCTGAGATGGCCAAATGTCATCCCACCCCTGTCACCCAGTCCCATAGGAAAGAGGGTATGGAGACCCTGCATCCCACCAGTTTGGGGGGGGGTCAGAGCAGCAGCACCCCCAAACTTAGGAGTGTGGGAAGATGATGTGGGGAGACCCCAGAACACCCTACACTGCACAGATCCCACCTTCCCAGTCCTCCCCTGGTACCAGCACCCTCCAGTGCCTGCACTCACCCTGTTCCCCTTCTCACCACCCTCTGCCCTGTCCCCCCTCATGCCACAGGAGCTGCCCCCACCCACTGCTACTTACATCTCCAAGGTTTCATTCCTGGAGGGGAGAAAAAAGAGGGGACAGTGTCAGTGGAGCAAGAAGATGCCTCCTGGGACAGCCCAGCATCTCCCAGTGGGACAGGGTCTCCCCTGGGGCACACAAGGAGTACACAGGGGGCTGCAGGGTGCTATGGTCCCCTCCATCCCAGCTGCCCCATCTGGACACAAAGCATGGGCTCCTACAGCTCTCCCCAAACATTGCTGCCCCCAGAGCATCACTGCTTCTTCCCCAGGTGGGCAGAGTGGGGCTCTACGCTCACTGCCTCAGTGGCACACCGCTCCCCCATGCCACAATTTCAGTTCCCCCAAGTTTCCCTGGCAGCTGAGCCCATGTCTCCAGCCAGTTCAGCTGCTGGCTGCAGGAGGAAGTGAAAGGCGCCGGGGCCACCAGTGGGGACCCTGGGCACGCTGCAGGCAGGGCACAGCCCGGCTCAGCACCACATCCTGCACACATCCCATACAACCCCAGCAAGGGTCCTGGGAAAGCCAGGACGCAGAGCGAGGAGGAGTGGGGCAGGCAGAGGGAGGAAGGCTGGCTGGGGCCACAATGGGCTGCAAGCCCTGGCTCCCTGGGCAGCTGCAACCCTGGAGCAAAGGAGTGGCAGGTGGGGGGCCGGAGCAGGGGAACCCCCAGCAAACTGGCTGCACTGCAGGGCCAAGCCGTAGCCCTCAGCAGTTGGAAATCCAACTGGGAACCGCTCACCACCCTCAGGGGTTGGCGGCTGCACTGGAGGCGTGACTGCTGGTCAGAGTGCCCCAGAGAAATGGGGAAAGGGTCCCAGAGGGCCGGGGGACAGCCCTGGGGCGCCGGTGGCCACAGGCACGCGAGCAAGCACTGCACCCTCGTGGCAGCGACGCCAACAGTGCAGCGCATTGCATTCTGTGCGGCATCCAGCTGTGCTCCCATTTGGAGGCCCCAGCACAAAAAAATGGTGCAAAGTAGAGCAAATTGGGCGGCAGACCCCCGAGCCAGGCTGGGGGCTGCAGCCCTGCCGTGCAAGCCAGGCTGCTTCCTCCGAGGGGGGTCACATGCAGCTTCAGCTGCCCAAAGAGGAGTTGCACAGCAGGCAGAGACAAGCTCTTCTCCAAAACATCTTCATCCTCAGAGGCTGAAGGTCCCAAGCCACCTCCCTGCCCCCTGCCACAGCCCACATTACTTTAGGATCAGCCCCACAGGCTGCCACGGGGCACATGAAGGGGCAGTTTGCAGTGTACAGGGTGGACCCCAGACCCAGCGTGGTCACAGGGGGTGGACAACTCCTCACGTGTAGACATCGGCGGTCTCCATGCGGCGGTAAAACTTGGCAAGTCTGATGGCCAGGATGATGCTGGGCAGCAGGAAGAAGGTGCACCAGCCCAGGCTGAACCAGAAGGTGTTCTGGGGGGGCAGGGAGAGCCATCAGGGCCCAGACAGCAACTGCGAGAGCCTCCTCTGCTCCGAGGCCCCCCCAAAGACCACCCACCCACCCCTTCTCACAGCCTGGCCTTTGCTCTTAGCCACAGCAATCCACCGGTGAGATGCTGAGCCCTGCTTGCTTGGGACAGAGATGGGTATCCCTCAGCTTGTGCACGAGGGGGACAAGGGGACCTCATCACCACCCCACACACGTGTCACCCCACACACCACAGCCCCACTCACCAGAGAGTCCAGGATGTAGTTGCAGGTGATGGCCTCCACATTATCCAGGGTCTGAGCTATGGGCTTGCAACGTGCCACATCTCCTGTCAGCTGGGGACACCGTGGGGACAGGACATGTCAGTGTCCTCAAAACCCTGCAGCCTGTCCTCCCCTTCCCTCCACCCCACCAAGGAAGGCTCAACTCACCCTGCTCTTGGCCCAGGAGATGTAGGTCTCAAAGAAGTCCAACAGCTCCTCCAGGAAGGCCCATGTGTCCTGAGGGGAGCAAGCGGAGAGTGGAAATGCTGCACCCCCAGCCCACTCCATGCCCCATGTCCCCTCCGTGTCAGGATCAGGGCCATCAGACCACCTCAACCCAGCAGCTGGCCCCTTCCCTGGAGTGCCATAAGGGCAGGGGTTGCCCTAATGGGAGGGGCACCCAGGGGTGCAGGGGACCCCCAGGGAAGACGACGGGGTGGGACGAGCAGCCAGACATTGCTTGGCATTCCTGCGCAGAGGGAGGTCTTGTGGGGGTCCAGCCACATCCCCACTGGGTGGCCTGGCAGCAGGGCAAGGCGAGCTCACATTCTTGATGATGTTTGCCGTCTCCCTGTCCAGGAACTCCTGGGTTTCTCTGGCTTTGTCCAGCGCAGCTTTTGTCTGTGCCTGGGGTGAAATGCGCTCTCAGCAGTGTGATGGGGGAACTGGGGTTCCCACATCTCCCCCACCCTGCCCAGCAGCAATCCCTGGGGTACAGTGTCCCTGAGCTGTGGTGTCCCCAGCAGTCACACACTGGTAGTGCCCAAGTACCTCAGGTGGAGGGAGCCTGCACCTGGCAGGGTCCATGGCGTGGGCCCCGATCCCTCTGTCCCATGAGCAGCCCCTACAGTGCATGCTTGGGGAGTCCCACAGCAGCCACCAGCTCCCCCAGACTGCAGGTTAGCCCCCACCATCTCCACTGCGGGACCTCAAGGGTGCTTCGCAGGGTGCTTTGGAGTGGGGTGCGCTCAGGAGGCCCCCTTGTGTGGCTTACCTTGAGCTGGGCAGCCCTACTCTGCACCGAGTGGATGTTCTCCTTCAGGCTTTGCTGGGGATGGAGAGAGGAGGGTCAAAGGCGTGGACCCCATGGCTCAGCCAAGACCCCACCAGCAGGCTCCAAGCTCTGGGAGAGCCCAAGCCAGCACCCCCAGGACCTTCACCACCCCAGCATCACTCACCAGCGGTCCAGAGAAGCTCATCTGCATCTCCTTGTCCAGCTCCCTCAGCTTGCGAGCGTCAGCCTTCAGGTCCTCTTTCACATCCGTGCCCTGGAGGAGCTGCAGTCAGCGGTGCCCCCCAGCTCGAGGTCCCTACCCCACCACGGCCAGCTGATGGGGGGCCGGGCTGGAGAAAATTGCTGGGGGAGGGTGAAGGGCCTCGCCTCCCCTCGGCAACCAGGCAGGTCTGTGGAGGAGCCCCCACAGCCAGTGGCTTTGGGGACAGGGTGGCCATGGCCCTGGGGTGCCATGGTCTCTCACTTTGTCTGCCAGCTGCTCCAGCTCTGTGGCCAGATCCAGGAGGCTTCCCTGGGTCACGTTCTGATCCAGCTGGAAAAGGCAGAGACAGAGCCATGAGAATCAGGAATGGCGCTCACGGGCGGGGGGGGGGGGGTTACCCCAACCTGTCAGGGCAGAGTGGAGCCAGGGCCTCCTGGTTGGAGGAGGTGCCCGGTTGCCCCAAGGGGTGACACAGATGGTAGGGAACACCCTAGGAGCCTCTGGTGGAACTCCCACAGCAGCAAAGGGGAGGGGGCAGTGGACCACTTCAAAACATTCCAGACACCCCCATCCCAACACAAGGCTGCCCCCAGCCCACCTGCTCCAGGGTGAGGGTGAAGTCAGGGGGCTGCCCAGCCTGGCTGGCATTCAGCAGCAAGTCTCTCTGGCTTTGGCTGAGTAGGGAGATGGGGCTCAGGGTGATATTCATCTTCTCGAAGGCCATGGAGATCTCTCCTGTGTACTGCCAGAGTGAGGGGAGCTGTGATGGGGCACGGTGCTGGCCCCTCACTGTCCTCCCCAGCGCCAGCCCTGTGCCCCCAGCTCTGCCCCCCAGACCCTGGCGCCCCCACGCTCACCTGGCTGATGTTCAAGAGCTCATCCAGGGACACGGTCTGGTCCAGGTGCAGCATTTGCCACAGGGCAGCGTCTCGCTGGCACTGCCTGCGGGAGGGGGGCATGGGGCTGAAAACAGGACAGGCGAGGGCCACCCCCTCCCAGGAGCATGTCCTCACCTGCGCAGGCAAGTCGCACTTCGCTCCTTGCCTGGCATGGGTGCCTGCCCGCAGCCAGGGCAGGTAGGGCAAGCTGCCCCCATCCCGGGGAGCATCCGAGGGTGCTGAGGAGCTGTACCCCTTCCCAAAGACACGGTGCTGGGGCTGGGACCCACCTGTACATCTCCGAGAAGTTTGCTGTGCCACCCTCCTGGCCCAGCAGCTCTGACAGGTTGAAGCCAGGGATCAGGCCAGGAGTGTCCAGGAGCTGAGAGCAAGGGAAAAGATGGAGAAACTGGACATGGTGCAGGGCAGGACACCTGGGAAGAGCTTCCCAAACTGGACAGCGCTGCCTCTGCTCCACCAGGTGCCCTTGGAAAGGTGGCAGTGGCTCCAGGCAGGAGTGTCTCCCCATGGGGAGCTCACCTGGAAGAGCTGCTGGCTGCGCCAGGACTCACAGATGAGCATGTAGATGTTCCCCCCCAGCACGAAGGTGATCAGCACCAACAGCATCAGCAGCCAGGAGAAGATGAAACTGAAGCCGACCCCTCTGCCGGGACAGAGACACCATCAGCAGCCAAGGCCCTGTGCCCCGGTGTTGATGCTAGCATTGCCTCCACCTGGCAGGTCCCAGAGCCTGCACACCCCTTGCACCCCCAGCAACGTCAGGAAGCACCACCATTCCCACAAGCATGTCTCCACTCTGCCTTTGGCCCCCGTAACACAGCCAGGCTGTCCCCGGGCCCATTTTCCCCCATGACCTTCGAAAGCCACGACTCACCTGCAGAGTCGTGGGACCACGCACACACTGCCAGGCCCCTGTCAGCAAAGGGTGAATGGGCTCCACTCGAACACCTTTCACCAGCACCGTGTTTTACCCTTGTGTTTACCATGGTGAGTTGCCATAGGGCAGGCCATTAAGCCGCAGTAATTTGATGATTTGGGAGCTTGAGCATCCCCAGGCCAGCCCTGCCTACCCATCCCATTGCTACCACACATGTCCTCGGCAGCCGAGGGAGCCTCACGCCATGAAGAAGTTCCCGCCAGCATTGGAGAGGCTGCTGCGCTGCGTGGGCAGCACACTTTCCTTCAGCCCCAAGGGCCCCAGCAGCAGCCCAAAGACGTTGCAGAGGACCACCAGCAGCACCATGCAGCACAAGAGGACACATATGCTCCACCTGGGGCAGAAGGAGGGCCAGGAGTCAGACAGCAGGATCTGGCACCCCGAGCGACACCCAGCATCCCATCAGCTGCCTTCTCAGGGAGGAAAAAGTCCCCAGGCAGAGAAGGGGCACGGGTGGCTGCAAGGCACAACTCTGGCTACCCTGCACCCACAGCCCCACCATCAAGCAAGCCCCCAGCTCCAGCAACTGGAGGATCAAGAGCCTGAGCCTCTCTGGACAAAGGAGGCGGGGGATGCAGCAGCCCCTCACCACAACACTACCTGAGCCTATCCAAGGTGATGATCGGCTCCCTGTACTCCTCCAGCACCGACGTGGCGTTGCCCACAAAGGCCTCAATATTCTCCTCCACTTCCAGGAGCGGCAACTGCTCCTGCCAGCTTCTGATCTCCTGCCTGATGAGGCCCAGCTGGTCCTGGGTCTCTGCAGGGGACAGGGACAGGTCGGTGCTCTGAACTGCTGCCCGGGTGCTGCTCGTCTGGGGCAGGTAAGCCTGGGGCAGCGAGGAGTGGGAGAGGATGGGAAGGAATGGGGTGGCTTTGGTCAAGGATGACATCAGCATGACAGCACATGGGGACTTGGAGAGAGCCAGCGCTGCAAGCAGTGGGGTGGCAGCAGGGGAGGTCTCCAGGCAGGGATGGGATGAGAAGGGAGTATGGAGCCCTGGGAGAGGGGCAATTTGGCACACGGGGCACAAAGCCCTGCTTACTTGTCACCACGTCCTGGGACTGCTCTTGCACCTTGGCAGGGGTCGTGTCCAGCGTGCTGTTAACCTGCATCCGGGGGGACACAGCGTATAGCTCGTGTTTCTGCCTGCAGCCCAGGGCTGAGCAGCACATTCCCTCTGACCCAGAAACTGGTGGCACAGGACAGCCAAGCTCCCCGCAGCACCTATCCCTGATCATGCCAGCGCCCAGGGGTGGCTGGGACAGCAGGCAGGCTCCAGCCAAGGCAGACCTCTGACGAGCACATCCCCCCACACAACAGCAATTAACTCATTGGTGGCTCATCCCAAGCCACCCCATCACAGCACAGCCCCAGCAGCACCAGGAGCACCCAGCCCTGTGCCTGGGTGCGGGGGGACACACAACCCCTTACCTTCTCTAAATCAGATGCTATGTTGGAGCCAGACACATCACCCAGTGCCTCCAGCTGCCGCTCCACACCGGGGATCTGTGGGGAAGAGCCTGGGGTGAGGGGCCTGCGGGAGGCTGGGGAAGGGGCTGCAGGGGAGCCCCTCACCCCACACCCTGCCCCTCCTCACCGTGCTGAAGTTGGCGCTGAAGGTGAGGCCGTCCAGGGACACGCTGCCGCAGGGGTGGCCGCAGCGCTGCAGGGTCTGGTTGAGACCGTCCTGCAGGCTGGCCAGCCGCCGGCTGTAGTTTCTCTGCAGCTCCTCGAGGTGCAAGTGAGTGCTGGCGATGCTGCCAAAGGCGGCCGCCAGCGTCTCCATCCCTGGGGAGACAGCGAGGGGTAAGGGGCTTCATCCTGCCAGTGCAGCCAGGGCTTGTCCTCACCCAACTGAATCTCAGGGACCCATCAAAAAATGCAACATAGGGGCACCCCCTAAGGCCCCAGCCTTTACCCCAGGCTGCAGCTGGGAGGCCAGATGGACCCCCCTCCCTGGGAGCCTTACCCAAACATGCATCTACCCCAGCTCTCAGACCCAGTATCCCCCCGAGTCCCCTCCAAGGCCCTGCCAGCCCCCCAGCAATGGGGCCACTACCTTGCAAGAGGCTCTGGAGGGATCCCAGAGCCCCGTCCGTGCTCCTCCTGATGCCCAAGACGATCATGCTACCCAGGTTGGGCCCAATGTCTGCAGAGATGGGAGAGATGGTGTCAAGGATGGGACCCCCAGGGTCCTGGGGCTTGCAGGGGAGCTGCTGAAAACACTGACACCCCCCCTGCAGGACCCCATCCCACACCCACCCCCCGAGCAGGGGGCTGAGGGGACACCCCCACCCTGCCACCACCTGCCCGCATCACTCTCCTCAAAGAGCCTGAATGGGGAAAAGCAGCACCTGGAGCAGAGCAGGAGCCTGGAGGAGCCCCCAAACCCTCTCCCTTTAGACATCCCCATGAGAACCAGCCCAGTGGCCCCCAGGGTCAGCAACCATCTGCAGGGCAGTGAGGCACACCCACACAGCACCCCCAGGCACCCCCACTCCCCAAGCACCCCCAGCCCTGCCAGAGCAGCTCGCTGCAGGTGCATGGGGATGCTCCAGCCCCTCACTACCACACACCCTCACCCTGGAGTCTGCGGTTGGCGTGACCCAGCGGGACGTCACTGCTGTCGATGACAAAATTGATTTGCTGCAGGGACAGAGATGGAGTGTCAATGCAGGTGGGCACCCTTCCCCGCCTCCGGCCCCACTGTCATCCTTCCCCGGGGGGCTCTTTGCCCCCCATCAGGCACCCCAGCCAGGGTAGGGGGACCAGGCATGCCTGGGGGATGGAGGCCACGTAGATGCGGACGTTGTCCAGGGTGTTGTTGACATTGGGGAAGGTTCCACACACAGCCTGGGAGAAGCGGGTGTTGCTGACGAAGGCGCAGACATTGCCAGCCCTGCAAGAGAAGGGTGGCAGGGTCAGCACACGGGGACCTCAGTCCCGATGCTCCCCCCCAGGACCCTCTGAATCCACCTGCACCGACCCCAGGCTGCAGAGTCCAGAGCACACCACTGAGCCCCACTTCCAGAGCATCCCAGCGAGTGCTCTGCACACAGTCAAGGGACCAGAGAGGAGGGAAACGGGAAACTGGGGCACGGGGGAGCACGGTGCCTGGTGCGCCCACATTTCCCTGCAGCGAAGCTGTCGGGAAGGGTCAGCGCCTGCCAATGTGCAGCCCCCCGGGGCCAGCTCCCCACCGCTGCTGCTTCCTCTCCTTTGTCCCGCTGTGCCGGGTTCTGCTCCTCTGAACAATGGCAGCTTCCTGGCACAGCCGCCAAGCGCCGGCGTTTCCACCCTCCCTCGGGACCCATCCGGAACCTCCCAGCCAGCACACTCACAGGAGGAGAGCAGAGACCAGCAGGACACCGGCCCAGAGCACCCGGCGCCGGCAGCCCATCCGCCGGCCCTGCTTCTGGTACATGCGGCCCCCACAGTTCCCACAGCAGCGGCAGCAGCAGAAGCAGCATCCCACCAGGGGCACGAGGATGATGAAGAGGAGCCCGATGGCCATGCAGACCAGGAAACCCAGTTCGTAGAGCAGCAGCTGGGAGAGGAAGAATGAGAGGCAGCATAACACTGGTGCCCCTGAAGGGTCCCCTGCACTGAGGGTCCTGTCCAGACCCCCATGGGGCAGGATGGGTCTCCCCAAGGGTTGCACATCTCCCCTTGCTGCTGCACAACACAAGGGGCTCAGCCTCAGAGCAGGACCCACCAGCATCCCCCAGCCTGTGGTGGTCTAGGGCTGCCGGCTCCCTGCCCTGGCTGCCCACTCACCTCCTGGACTTGCTCCCCGATGGCCTCCTCACTCTGAGACTGCCCAAAATCTGCGATCAGTTCTGGGGGACAAGGAGTGGAGAGGGCTGTGAGCAGGCACGGGGCCCTGGGGGGCTATCCAGGAGGGCCCCACACCCTGCTCACCCCAGAAAGGGGCTACCAGCACTGGGCATCACCTCCAGCACTGTGGCTTAGAGCGGCTGCGAGTGCATGGTGTGTTTCTCCCTTCCAACTGTCCCTCCCCGGCCATCGTGATGCACAGCCCTTTTGTACTCAGGAAAAGCGCTGCCAGCCCCCAGGCTCACAGGGGTGCATGGAGCAAGGACGTCTTCACCTCAGCAGGCACCAGGGGCAGGCATGGGGGAGAATGCTCCGACAACCACCTCGGCTGCCCTTGGGCTACCCTCCTGCAGCCCAGTCCGAGGCAGACACCCGGCTGGCACTGCCAGCATGGGATGGGTGCTGGAGCAAAGTCCCCCCACCACACTGCCTCTTTCACCATGAGGGCTCACCCTGCCCGTGCCCCATGGCCTCATTACAAGCCACACCGGCACACAGTGCCATGTGATCGTACCCTGATATCTGCACAACACGAACAAGGCCACAAAGCTGTTGCGTTGTTTGCCAGCCATGTGTTTGCCTGCAAGTTTCTGGCGAGCAGGGGCTGAGCCCAGCAAAGGAGGAAGCACAAGTGCCAGCAGCCAGAGTGGCAACCCCCCCTCCCCAGGGTGGGCAGCACTCGCCTCAGGGACATCGAGCAGCTGCAGGGTTCTGGCATCACCCATCCAGACCTACAGCCACTTTGGGGCAGAGCTGTGCCAGCAGCACATCCCCTCAGAGATGAAGGAGGGAGAGTGAGCGCTGGCAAGCAGGGTGGTGCACAGGGGGTGCCTGCAGCGCTGGCGTGAGGGCACTGGGACATGCTGTTCTTGGTGGCCCTAAGCCAGGTCCTGCTGAAAGCACACCTTGTCACCTGCAAGCACAGAGGGCTGCAAGCCAGGCAAGGACCCTGCAAAATCATAGGTAGCGTGCGGTTTGTTCTGCACCTTTCGTTGGGGCCTGGGATGAAGATACCTGGAGGGAGGACAGGGCAGGACTCTGCAAGGTGGCACTGCCACCAAAGCCTGTCCTGGGGCTCACCTGAGACTGGCCCACAGTCGTGATGAGACACAGGCAGGACACAGCTGGCAGCCCTCAGGGACCCCACTCCGTTCCCACCCCGCCCCATCCCTCCTAACCCAGTACCCCACCATTTAAATGCTTGGTGGACAGTCACTAGTGCAGGAGGGCTCAAGCTCAACCAAGACCCTGCAGCTCTGAGCAGCCCCCCC